TTCCTTCCTTCCTTCCTTCCTTCCTTCCTTCCTTCCTTCCTTCCTTCTTTCCTTCTGACTTATCCAACCTTTCACCTTATTATCCACAACTTTGGGTGGCTCACAACAACAGTAAAAACAAGGAACAATTAAAAACAACCAATATTAGGGAATGGGGGAGATCAGTTGTATTTTCCTTGAATAATGAAGGACACAGTTCTTTTTTGACATCTGAATATCAAACCAAATAAGCTACTACCTCTCTTAGAGAACTGAAGTGACATCTCAAACCTATCCCTGCCCCAACACTGCAATTCTCTTGGTAAGAGCTTCAGAAAGAGTGAAATGTTGTCCTTTTCCTACCTTGTTCAGCACTTCCATCTCTTCCATAGATTTCTGGTTGATTATAAAATTGAAATCCTTACAGATATATTGGATAAAATTGCCCAATTCACAATATCCGGATCTGCTATCAGTTCTCCATTTTCATTCAGGTACACCCCTTCTATGGAATTATTGTAGAACTGAGAGTTTCGAAAGGAAGAATGAAGCTGGATGGAAAACAAAATAAGTACGTTTAAACAGGATTTAAAAAAAAAACCTACAGTAAGATAGTTTGTGCTGTGTGTGAACTGACATACAAAGTGAAAGTTTCAGATTTATTTCTGAAGGTGCCCTGATGGCACAGGGGTTTGAATGCAGTATTGCAAGCAAACTCTGCCTACAGCCCAGAGTTCAATCCTGATGGGGCTCAAAGTTGACTCAGCCTTCCTTTTAAGAAGAGATTGGACAATTATTTGTCTGAAATGTTATGGGTTTTTCTGCTTGAGAAGGGGGTTAGACTATAAGACCTCCAATGTCCCTTCCAATTATGTTATTCTGAATTCTGTTCTTCTGTTATTCCATCTTTCTTAGGTCAGTAAAATGAGGACCCAAATTGTTGGGAGTGATATGCTGACATTGTAAACTGATCAGAGAGTACTGTAAAGCACTATGGACTGGTATATAAGTCTAAGTGCTACGGTTATTGCTATTTCCCAAGTTGTTTGTAGACAATCTATAAACATTTACATTCTAATATTTAGCAATGTCAAGCATAGTTATATATAAATTGAACAAACACTAAGATAAATGTCATGCCCCTGGTGGAGACTGACTCTGAGGGAGAGGAGGAACAGCCAACAGGGAGTGGAAGTGTGGTTCCAGAGGTTGTGGAGGAGGCTGGGGAAGGGCAGAGGCCGGCTGAGCAGTCAAAGGAGGACTCAGGCCCATCCCCTCTCCATCCTAGGGCACACAGGGAGGAGAGGATAAGGGAAAGACATGGTCTACTCAGGAGGAGAGGGCCTTGATCTTCTTCGTGGGATGCAGGTGTGAGAACTGCATAAGAGTTTGGACCTGCATGCTAGCAAACACTGGAAACAAAGAGTGTTTTATTCCTGGATGAGGCTTATCTTGGTTGGCATTCTTCCAACGGACTGTACCTGGTTATCTTCTTGAAGTTTGTAATTAATTATCCTGGTCTGTCGTGGAACTTTCTTCAGTGCGATTTGTTTTTGGTTTTTTATTGCTTTGTTATCTGGTCTCTGAGTTTGGACTGTATTTCTTTCTTTTGGAATGTTATTTTGGAAAGAGTTTAATCTCCAACTGTGAACAATTGAACAGTGAAGCCAAGTTGAAGGCATTAAAAGAAGTTTATTTACGTTTTGGTTTTTGTTATGTTTGTATTACACTCTGGGTCATCACAATAAAGATCAAGGTTCACCTCACACATATGTGCTAGTCGTTTCCAGCTCAAGGGGGCGGTGCTCATCTCCGTTACAAAACCAAAGAGCCAGCACTGTCTGAAGATGTCTCCGTGGTCATGTGGCCAGCATGATTAAATGTCGAAAGCACATGGAACACTGTTACCTTCCCACCAAAGTGGTCCCTATTTTTCTACTTGCATTTTTACATGCTTTTGAACTGCTAGGTTGGCAGAAGCTGGGACAAGTAACGGGAGCCCACTCCATTATGCGTCACTAGAGATTCAAACTGCCAAACTGCCGACCTTTCTGATCGATAAGCTCAGCTTCTTCGCCATTGAGCCACTGCGTCCCCAACACTAAGGAGACTCATTTGATCAAGCTTTCAAGATTCTGTTCATATGCCTTATAAAGTAGCATTTCTGGAATCGATGCTGATTTTTGCCTGTCTTCCTTCAAAGGGACGGGCAGCAATATTGAAAGCCTCTCCAAGTTTTGTTCTCCCTTAACTTATATTAAAACAAAATCAAGTGTAAAGATATTAAAATATTATATTTGAAAAGTACTTTAAACAGAAAACAAGTTGCCAGTCAAGTGGAATGAATGGTGGTAATGCAAAGGTGGAAAAGAACAGAATGTTTAAAGTCAATATTCCTTTTGTACCAAGACTCAACTAACTTTTCAAAATAGCTTTTCAGCTCTGACAATTATAAAATGGATTCATATCTGCAAGACAGACATGCACAAAAGAAATAATAATAAAAAATATACCTGCCAAGCCTTAAGCCTTGGAGTTTCCCTGTTCTTACTATCTTTATTCCTTGTCCTCTTAGAGCTGGATATAATGACTGTATGTAAAGCCTGTGCCACAGCCCAGATGGTGTTGTAAGTGAAGTAGTTGTCTATTGATAAGATACGATCCATCGCCTCTTGGGGCAGAGATTCCAGTTCTTCTCTTTCCCTGCACCATCTCCAGAGTTTCACTGAAAAAGGATCCTTGGGGTAAGAACACAGAAAGGATCTTTCTGAGAAGTCTTGCATTGTGGAATAAAAATGATGAGACATCGCATAGTTTGCTGTTTGCTTTGTTTTCATAAGAAAGGAAAAAGTGCTATGGAGGCTTTCAGTCTTGTCCTGATTTAGTTCAGTGAGAGCTGTAACCTCCATCAAATATAGGTGTAAGTCCTATAGTATACTTGTCATCAGCACCTTGCCTGTAACAGGTTTCTTAAAACGCTCAACAGCTTTGTGTATAATTATCATCCTAATGCCTATGTCTGCACCATAGAGGAAGACATTAACTTGTCTCCAATTGCTGTAGGCATCAGAAAGACTGAAGTGTTTAGCTCTGGAAAAGGTTTGTGATAAAACTGGACAGATGCCATATTTTATCAGCATGGAGGTCATCGTCCTCATGAATTTCTGCCCCTGGTCGGTGTCCGGAGCAAACAGCCCAACCAAAATCCACCTGAAATGGAGAAGAAGCTTGACCATCCCTGAATACTGGAATCCTTCAGAGGGGAGCATTGGGTAGAAGAAAGGAAAATAGCTTTTATCATTCAGAACCTGAGAAACAAAATTGTAACTGATCTGGAAAGAAAAGAGAGAAAAAAAAGATGACATTTTAGTTGACAATCCAAAGATTCAAAATGGAAAGTAAGAATGCTGGCTTTAATAAAGACTTTGTCCACTCTCTAAAATGAAGGCTCATTTCACACATCATTTCTCCATCTGCTTCTTTAGTGTGAGAATCTACCAATCTCCAAAATTAGAACTTCTCATACTCTGGGTTAGAACTTTGATGGGAGGGACCTATGGTAGAATCTTTGCTCTAATCCCTTTCTCCCATTGGATATTCTGAACTATTTTTTGAACTATTTTTTGAACTATTTTTTGAACTATTAGCATCTGGCAGGTGATACAGTAGGACATTAAAGACAAGGACAAATAGGCTGAAAAATAGTTTCTATCCCAGAGCAGTAACTATATTGAATTCTACTATATAGTGTGATATTAATGTAGTCAGGATTCTGGCAGTTACCCCAATTAAATCATGAGTCTCGAGCCAAACTTCCAAAGCTTCAAAAGGATTTATTGGGAGTTAACATGTCCGGCACTGCCTGGGTGTAGCCAACTCTGAGACACATCATTCATTGTCACCCTTGACCCTGTTTCCCCCCCCCCATCCCCTGGGTGTATTGTAATTCATATTCTCCAATGGGACACATCCACAGCCAAGAGTCATCAGTCATGTTCTTTAGTTAGATATTTGCATGATAGAAACTTCAGTCACCCAGTTCCTGTCTTTGAAAAACTATTTATGGAATGCACTTTTGCTTTCCAAGCTGCCGCACTGCTCTTTCAAACCCCTTTCCCTCCTCCCTTTCTGTTGTCAACTCTAAAAAGACCATAGAAATTGACATAGAGTTGACAAATGCAATATCAGGGGTTTTCAATTCAATTGCATAGAATGTGAAGGATGTGTGTTTTTCTTTTATTTTCTTTATAATTTTCTGATGTATAATGTACACTGAAGATGGCATTTAATTTTGTTGTATGAGGTGCAGTGACAATAAATTGCTACTACTGAACTTTCATTTTTAAGGACTAGCATGTGCATGATCAAACTTTGTTCTTCGTTTAGAAGAGAAGACCTCTGAAACGTGTATAACTACAACTTTTCTCACTGGCAGACCTGTGGATATCTGGATGGAGACGCCAGTCTCAGATCCTTCCAGAACAGCCACTGTGTTTCTCTGACTCCCACAGCTGTAGTTGGGGACATTGGCCTCCCCATCTGAAAGCAGATCTAGCAAAGCATCTGAAGTCATTCGTGGAGTGAAATAATTTTCATAAACATTGTAACCCAGAGTGATGTTGGGTAAGAGGTGAGAATCCTGGTTGATCTCCTGGATGGCAAAAAGATATGACAACACTTTCCAGTATTCTGGGTTTGCTTTCCTAGAAATATAAATATATTAGAATGCAATCAATTTAAATAATATTTTATTTAACCTCTTATTTACAAAAATACTTCTAATCCAGCTAGGCTGATCTTCTGAATGGATTGTCACATTTAAAAAATATTAAAATAAAACAAAGCAAAAACAATAGACTACACCAGTAAATATTTTTAGATCAGTTTCAAAGGCACATAGCTCCAGTTTATGGCAAAAACTACTTTCTGAAGTTCTTAATATTTAGAGATTTGACTATTATTTTATATTAAAGACAAAATCATTAAATCATAAAGTTGGAAAGAGTCACTCATACCACCAAGTTCACTAACATGCTGTATATACAAATGTAACATACAATGAACAAACCAGAGGTCGTAATCAACAGGTTCCGATCAGTTCTGGAGAACCGGTAGTGGACATTTTGAGTAGTTCTGGAGAACCAGCAAATACCACCTCTGAGACTGGAGATTTTTCAGTATTCTTCCCCTGCCACATCCACCAAGCCATGCCCACAGAACCGGTAGTAAAAAAAAATTGAATCCCACCACTGTAGCAAACCCCATACAGTATATTATCCGTGTCTGTTGTATTTACATTTGAAGTCTCCTGAGTGGAGATTTAGCTTACATTAAAATCATTATAAGAGTTTTTCTCTTCTGTTCAATTGTGTCCAGTTTTTCAAGAGTTATTTCCCCTTATCTCCTTCGTTAGGTTAAGTGAAAGTGATTTGCCCAATGTCATCTAGCTAGCTTTCTACCTAGAGGAGTTGGTAGCACAGTGGTTAGAATGCAGTATTTCAGGCTAACTCTGCCCATTGTCAAGAGTTCAACCCAGACTGACTCAAGGTGGAATCAGCCTTCTATCTTTCCAAGGTTGGTAAAATGAGGACCCAGATTGTTGGGGATAATAGGCTGACTCTGTAAACTGTTTACAGAGGGCTGTAAAGCAATGTGAAATGGTATATAAGCCTAAGGTGCTATTGCTAGTGGTAAGATAGGAGTAGAATCACTGTCTCCTGACTTCTATCTGATGCCTTGCTTACCACTATTGCAAACTGGCTCTCAAGATTATGATAACTGCCATCAATTCAAAATGGGACTGAGAAACATATAGAAATTCAGTGATTAAACAAATTCCTCTGTGCAATCCCTTCATATTATAGTGGATTTGGGTCCTGAAAAAAAGAATTATTTTCAATATAGAGGAAAAATACATCAGTCCTGCAGGAGCAGAAAAGAGCTACCTCCTTCTTTTTTCTCATCCACAATCTAACTCTGTTCAGAGCATAAGTATAAAGTATAAACAGGTATAAGTACATACATAATAAATGAGTATGAATAAATGGGAACAGTAGGACAGGGGCGGTAGGCACGCTGGTGTGCTTATGCATGCCCCCTTACAGACCTCTTAGGAATGGAGTAAGGTCCACACTAGACAGTTTAAAGTTAAAGTTTTGGGGGTTTGAGGATGTAACAACAGAGTCAGGTAGTGTGTTCCAGGCATTGACCACTCTGTTGCTGAAGTCTTATTTTCTGAAGTTGAGTTTGGAGTGGTTTATGTTGAGTTTGTATCTATTGTTTGCCTGTGTGTTATTGTGGTTGAAGCTGAAGAAGTTGTTGACAGGTAGGATGTTGTAGCAGACAATTTTATGTACTATGCTTAGATCAATCCATAGGCAGCATGGTTCTAAGTTATCTAGGTCCAAAATTTCAAGTCTGGTAGCATAAGATATTCTATTGCAAGCAGAGGAGTGGAGTGCTCTTCTCATGAAATACCTCTGGGCTCGTTCAATTGTATTAATGTCCGTTATACAGTGTGGATTCCAGAATGTTAAGGAAATTGAGATGCAAACAAAATATAGCCAATGGCAGCAGCTGAAATGCAGTGCTGAAAACCTCACTCACTGGAATGGCTGAGTTGAAGGAGTCGTGTTGAAGCTTAATGGTGGAAACTTAGCCCTGGTTGCAGAGATTATGCTGCCGATAAAAAACTCTCCTGGACTGTTATGGTTGGGTGGGTTCATCCCATCCTGATACTGAGTTGGGAGACATTGGATTTTGAGTGTCCCACAGACGACCTGGGGCCAAAAAAGCAGCACAAGGAGGAGCAAAAGCAGTAACATGATTTGTATTCCTGACTGAGCTTCCTCCACTGTGCTCGCCTTGAATGACAGTCTAGAGGAAGAGGTGGAAGAAAACAAAGGCTTTTTCCGAGACAGAACTTTTAACACAAACGTAGTCCAGCCATGTTTCACATTTCAAAGAGAAGGGACTAACTGCAGCTCCTGAGTGCTCTAAAAGAGCCACCCCGCCAGCTCTCTCTTTCTCCAGACCCATTTATGCACCGTGTCTTTCCAATGCCACAAGCGCAGTCAACAAAGCTTTTTAGTGTATTGTTATTGAGATGAATACATATTGTTGACATCTTGCTCTCAAATCTTCTAAAAGGGTACAGAAAAATCTCTGGAGATTTTTGGCGCAAGAGGACACGTAAATCACTATGATTTGAAGAAGGGCAAATTGATTTCAGTTGAAAGCATTATTTGAACTCAGCCTTGCCTTGTGACTAAATGGGAGATCTAAATTTGATTGATTGTGGCCATATTGAACAAACATGGTTTAACAAACCACTGTTTAATATGATATATAGCCTGAAGCCCAGGAATTTCCAGATTATCTTTTCTTGATAATTTTTTTACCCCCCCCCCCAAAAAAAACGTAATCTGGGAGAGATGGAATGCAAAGCCCCTCCCCACCGCTGAGGCCACATAAAACTTCTTGCATTGCACCATCTCAGTGGCTGCTGAGTCCTTTATCTTTAGTTCTCTCTGTGTTGTTGCAGCCATTTTGTTTTTAAGGTTTCCTCCTGACTGTATATCCAAGTTATACCTCCTTTTCAACATACTTTTCAAGTCCCTTTTTCCTTTTACTGTTACCTTTTGTTTTTGCATCCTTGGGTGGTTTAAAGGATTTTTAAACATACTCCAATCTTTTTCATAGTTGTGTAACTTGCAAATTTTGGACAAAAGGTTATGAAGGATTTATTCACCACTTCTTTCTATTTTTTTTTAATGAAAATGACCATGGGACTATGGAACTGAGTGGTCTATAACAGATTGTCAGGATTCCAGCAGCTACCCCCATTTAAATCATGAGTCTTGAGCCAAACTCACAACACTTCAAAAGGATTTATTGGGAGTTAAAATGTCCGGCACTGTCTGGGTGTAGCTGACTCTGAGACACACAATTCTGTCAGTGTTCCAGGGAAAATCCATTCCTATCAGTAACTCCAAGACACATGTCATCTCAAAGTACTTTTATTAGAATAGCACCTGGCACATACTGTGGAAATCCAGAATTAAATCTTCCCGGCTTCTCCACAAAGTCCCAACCTACAAACCACCCCTTTTTCCTCATCACCACATCACATGAACCAATCCCAAAGTAAGTTCTAATTCTTTTTGCACCACACTCTGTAACCTTGAACTATCAAAATAATATATTTTGTCTACTAAGAGCTACTCAATTAACATCACCCCCCCCCCCACTTTCTCCAATTATGTGGCAGTGATGAATTCCATAGCTGACAAATTCATTGTTGCCCTTGACCCTGGTTTCCCCCCCACCCCTGGGTATATCATAATTCATATTCTCCAATGGGACACATCCATAGCCCAGAGTCACCAATCATGCTCTCCAGTTAGAATTTTGCATGGCAGAAACTTCGGTCACCTAGTTACTATCTTCGAAAACATTTATGGAATGCAGTTTTGGTTTGTAAATGGATGCACTGCTCCCCCCTCCCTTTCTGTTGGCAACTCTAAAAAGACCATATAAATATTTTATGAGTTGACATAGAGGTGGTATTCAACCAGTTCTGACAGGTTCTGGGGAACCGGTAGCGAAACTTTTGAGTGGTTTGGAGAACCGGTAAATACCACCTCTGGTTGGCCCTGCCTCCATCTATTCACTGCCTCCCGAGTCCCAGCTGATCAGAATCCCAGTTGATCAGCTGAGTCTTCTTTTGTTGCCCCGCAGAGGAGAACGGAGCTGGAAAGCAGGTTAGTGGGGTGTTAGAGGGAATGGAGATTTTACAGTATCCTTCCCCTGTCACGCCCACCAAGCTACGCTCACAGAACTGGTAATAAAAATGTTTGAATACCACCACTGGTCTAGAAGGGATCATATCAATCAATTAATTAATCAATCAATGCTCCTCTATTATGAGGAGTGTGAAGTAAGACTGGACTGTTGGTTTTCTTCATTCTTGGGTAGTATTTACATGACACCCTATAACAGGACAATATAGAGACTTTGCAGTGTGTTCATTGCAAATGAATGGTACTCTGGAATATAGATGCCACCATTTGTGAGTGAGATCCATGTCCATCCTGGTTGCTAAAGGCCACCCAGAAGGTGGCAAGTGGTGTGTCCAAGCGTTGATAACTTTATCCTTGCTGAAGGGGATGTCCCCATCCTGTTTTAAAGGGGCACTCATCAAGAATCCATTACTTGACCTACCATCCTGGACAATTTTCATCCAATCTCTCCATATCTCTCACCAATCCCACCACTAAAGTATCTCACCACTAAAGTGTCTCACCAGTCTCACAAATAAAACTAGACTGCTAGAAGAAAGTAAATTTTATATATATACACAAACAAACAAACAAGCACACAAACACACACACACACATTTGTGTATTCAAAGTTTTAAACAAGAAAATGTTTATTGGTGAATCAATGACCCTTGAATTTTATAAAAATGCATCTTTCGCATTGCAGCCATTCTTCTGCTATTGTTAGCTGAAATTCAGGCACCTTGAATTTGGCATGGAGCTGATGAAATCTATTACAATGAATTTGAGAGAGAAAAAGAGTATTAGCCTTTGCAAAAGTCATTTTTTGTGATGACCCTGGGCGTGACACAAAAATAACACAGTCACAAAAGGAGAATAAATTCCCTTTAATGCCTCCAACTTGGCTCCAATGTCTAATTATCCTCGGCTAGATAATAAACTCTTCAAAAAAAAAAAAAAAAAGTCTACGAAGGGCAGAAATGCAGTCCAAACCCAAAGTAAAGATAATTAGAAATAAAAAACCCAACACAAACCACACTGAAGTAATTAGCACGGCAGGCCAGGATGATAAATTGCAGACGTTCAAAGGATAATGCAGCATCCACAGTTAGGAGGACACCAAAACCCATATAAGCCTCGACCAAGATAATGCACGCTTTACTTCCAGCAAGGAGCCATGTGCAAACACCCCACTTATCTCCTGTTCTCCCAGCTGCAACTAATGAAAGGGATCAGGGCCTTTTCATCTCCTATAAGACACATTGCTCCCTTCTCCATTCCTCCCTGCGTGCCCTAGGATGGCCCTGGATCTTCCTCTGAATGCCCAGCAGGACTGTGCCTTTCCTCCGTTTCTTCCACAGCTACTGGAGCCACACTCCCACTCCCTGTCAGCTGCTCAATCTCCCCCTCAGAATCAGATTCCAACAAGGGCATGACAATTTTTACCCTCAACCAACAATACAAATCACAGAAAAAGTTAAAAAAAACATTTATTAAGGTGATGGAGGTGTAAAGTCTTTTGATAGCATACAAAAAGAAATACATACATTTAGTCTGGGTGACACATCAGAAAGCAACTAATCAAAAATAAAAGATGACTACATGTAACAATTGAACAATAGAAAACATGGATTACAGATGAAATTCCTCAAATGGCAAATTTATGAGTTACATCATGCCCCTTAGGTAGGTATCTTACCTACTTGCAACTGTATTCAAGAACTTTCAGAATATTCTCTCTATAGCAAGGGTGTCAAACTCGTGCTGTCACGGCATCATCATGTGACATATCAGGACTCCCCCCCTTTGCTGAATTGGGCAGGGGTGGGGCTAGCATATGACGCATCCAGGCCACAGGCCATGAGTTTGACACCTCTGCTCTATAGTTTACTGACTGAAAACGTTAGTTCACACAAATTTTAAAAAATGTTCTTGATTCAGAAGAAAAATGTGTTTTCCGAAAGTTACAACAAAGGTCTACATTCCCATACTAAAATGCTAATATATCGTAAATTAAAAGCTGAAACGAAAACCCAAAATGCCAAGTAATACTGCCAGACATAAAAATAAATAAAAAAGATAAAAAGATGGAAATTGGACTTAAGTAGGAGATCACTTTAAAAAGCAGTCAGAGAAATTGGGTTTTCCCATGAAAAGTACCTAATGGTGAATTAAAATGTTAGGTCCCCAGATATAATATTCCCCAGAATATCCATGAGAATCAGTTTTCTACTTCATTTTTCAACATCAATTGCTCCTTTGTATTCAAGTCTGGCCTCAGCACAATGATGTAACACTTAGGGATGAAGATGCAACCCAGCAGCCCAGCACTGGAAGCCAAGATGGAGAAGACCTGCACAGCCACCATGTATTTCCCTTTGGTGCTCAGATAGGTAGGCACAAAGGACAGCCAGACACTGCAGAAGACCAGCATGCTGAAGGTGATCAGCTTGGCTTCGTTGAAGGACCCAGGCAAATTCCTGGCCAGGAAAGCCACTGTGAAGCAAACGGCAGCCAGAAAGCCCATGTAGCCAAGGGCAATATAAAACATAGCAGCAGAGCCTTCATTGCACTGTAGAACAATCTCTCTAGGCTGCGAATACATGTCAGAATCAGGGAATGAAGGAAAAACTCCTAACCAAGTGAAACAAATGACAACCTGAACAATAGAACAAGAAATGATGATGGTGTTGGCCAGACTCTTGCCCAGATATTTCCTCATACCATTTCCTGGCTTTGTGGCTAGGAAGGCCAGCACCACCATGATTGTTTTGGCCAAGACAGAAGACACAGCAATTGAGAAGATGATGTTGAAGACTGTTTGTCGGAGAAGGCAGGTGGTTCTCCTTGGCTGACCAATGAAAAGGAATGAGGTCAAGAAGGAAATCAGAAGGGAGACCAGTAGAATGTAGGAGAGGTCCCGGTTGTTGGCTTTTACTATGGGAGTTTCTTGGAATTTAATGAAGATTCCCAAGACAAAGATTGTAGTTAAGATTAGGAATAGGGCAAGGGTAGTAAGGATGATCCCCAAATTCTCTTGATGGGACAAAAACGTGACATTTTTGGCAATACATTGATCTCGCTTCTTATTCTGATATTGATTTTCTGGACATCTGATGCAGTAGTTTGCATCTGCAAAGGACAAAGGTAACATCTACTGTCAATTTATAGGATAGGAGTTAGATTAATGAATATGTGTGTGAATGTGCTTGTATTACTAAGTGTCCAAAGTTGATAAAGTGAGAAAATGTAGCTAGATTAAGAAGGGAAAGAATTTGAGGGGAGGCATAGTTAACTTAAAAAATACCTCCAATTTTCTCTTATCCCCCCCCCCACATTTCTGGGACTATAGGCAGGGGTGGGATGCTACTGGTTCTGCCCGGTTCTAAAGAACCGGTAGCTCTGAAGAGCAGCAGACACTGCACTGTTTCTGTGTTTGCTGCTGTTTGGCTCACCCACCCGCCTGGGCTCTTACCTGCTTTTTGCATGGCACAGTTGAGGTTGAAAAAGCAGGGGAAAAGAAGTTTTTCAAATGCTGTGCACCTGCACGCAGCGCTTTTCAGCTGTCTGGACGGCACAGTCTAAAGTTGTTTTACACACGCATGTGCATGCAAAACATAGTCACCAAACTGGTAGTAACAACCAGTTGAATCCCACCCCTGACTATAGGAAACAAAAGGGGCAAAAGGCAGCCATCTTTGTCATGCAGTAAGGAATCTAATGGACTAGAAGTGGCCAATCTGACAGGGTTGGAATATTTCTGTTCCATTTGTCCACCAAAATCGAATGGTTATTGATTTAAAAAGGCATGATAAAGATATTTGATTTGATGTTTCCCTGTCATAATTACAACATGGAACGGTTCCTCACCAGTAGCAATGTATTCACCCAGATAACTATTCCACAGGAAATACAGACCCTGTTTGCCTACTTCCTGGATATCCTGGAGGAAGTTGGTTAGGCAGAAATGAAGCTATCCTGAAAATATCCCAAGATGACAGACTAGAGTTTATGTGAGTTGGTTTTCATTCTCCTTGATGAAGATCTTCATACTATAGAAGCCACATCACAGCCTTTGTCTGGATGAAGCAACAGACTACTTCCTGCCATTTCCACTGATGCTTAACCTTTAACCTTAGGATGTCTACTATTGACCTCACCCCTTTCTTAAGAGGCCTGTAGGGGACATGCATAAGTGCACCAATGTGCCTACCGTCCCTGTCCTATTGTTTCTTTTATTTTTTTTATTTTTCTTATATGTATCCATGTATTCATAACTATGTTTTTACTTATACCTATTACCTTGTAAGCAATTGACAAACCCAATAAAATTAATCAATCAATTAAGTAATTAATAAAATTAATAAACAAAGCTATTAGAAGTATCTCCTTAGCTGCTTGGTTTCCTCTACATCTCAAAATTTCATTCCAAAGGATTCTGGCATATTATTGCTATACACCCTTCGTGAAAACAGTCATTGTAATTAAATAAATACTGTATCTTTTTGCCCCAAATACCCAGATTCAAAACATCTTCATCAAAAGGACTACCTTCTTGGGTAGAAATCCTCCCTTCTGCACAGGGGGCACAGTTGTAGCAGCAATTTGGTTTCCCCTCCTGGACCACCTTGAAATATCCATGCTGACATGCTTCCACACACTGGGAGTAAGGCAATGTCTGAAAATGAACAGAATTAGCATTCAGTAGCATCTGCAATCATCAGCTATGAAATGAGACATAGAGTTGGAAGGAGTCAACAAACTAGGTATCTGTCAAGGCCGAAATTGTAGCCATTTTAGTTAGGCTTAGTATATATTCTTTTTCTTACTTTCTTTGTGGCAGTCATGGGGGAAAGGGTTTCGGGCTTGCCACTTTCATAAGGGAGGAGGAGTGGAGATAAAGAGAGTTGTTTAGGCTAGGTGATCTTTCTTTCCATGGGAAATGAGCTGTCTGTGCTTGGGCCTCTTGAGGTGGAGATTTATGACATCAAGCAATGTTGAATTACTTCTACTGGGAGAATGTGACTTTGGGGGGTTGTTTCTACCTTGTAATATTGTGGGGTAATTCCGGGTTGTGTCAGATCCGGAATTACCATGGACTTTGCCAATTTGATGCTTTCCTAAATAAAAGAATTTGTTTTGAAAGATGGACTTTGTTCTTTTCTTTTTAAATTGATTTCATCACTTGGAAACTTGACAGTATGTGCTAAACGGAACATTCTGTTTCTCCTCTAGGCCAAACTGTGGTGGCGGCCATTCCAGGGATGTCCAACAATTGTCAGGAAAGTTATTCTTGAAACTAGCAGTGGATTGTGATAATCATGGAAGAAATGGGAATTCGGGAATTCTGCAGCATGATAGATTTTCCACACATTTCCCACCAAATATCCAGCTGTAGCATCAACCTCTTGTCCTGAATGTCAAAATGAGCATGGGCAACTCAAGTGATTCTGCTTCTCTCTCCTCTTAAATCCTCCCTGCATTTTCCTACATCCCCATGTCACTTCCTTCAATGTTCTTGGAACAGAACCAGTGGTGAAATGCTACCAGTTCAGCTCAGTTCAGCCAAACCGCTACTAAGAAAAGCTCCGACGATCAGCTGAGAGGATAAAGAAGAGAAAAGCACAGGAGCGGCCCTCCTACCTGTCCCTGTGCTTTTCTCTTCTTTATCCTCTCAGCTGATTGGCATGGAAGAGCCTCAGCTGGTGTTTGAAAAGCTGCACGCGCACATTAGGTGAAGTGCATGATCAATGAACCGGTAGGGAAACTGGTAGAATCCGACCACTGAACAGAACCCTTCTATACTTCACAAAACTCCTTCTCTATTGCTATTGCTGAATTAAAAGAGCACGTCTCTGAAACTTGTATCTGAAGGCAGTCAGTCTGATATATAATTTGGGAAAGGAGGGGACACTCATGGAGATAATGATAAAACTGAAGAAACAGCAGATTTGCCCACCTGGTTCTCCCCATGGTGCTTCATGATGGTGTCCTTGTTGATGCTGAATTTCACTCCTGCAGATCCTTCTCTTGCCAGACTCCCAAATTTCATGCTGGTGCCTGACTTATTATGAAAACCCACCCAACTCACAAGGTCAAAGTCAGCCATCAAATCTCCATTCCCATCCAAATACATTCCTTGCATGGTGTTGTTGTAGATCTGGGGATTCTTCAGGAAGTGGTGGACCTACAGAGTGTGAAGAAAGGAAGGTTTTAGATGGATGGAATCTGCTACACCAAGTTGATATACAGAGATATAGGGAATTTGACTTTTTGAACTGCAGCCTGTTTTCTTATCAGGACAATTCCCAGAGATTTGTCCTTAAGGGGACAATAGGGAAAATATTCTTCCCAGCATCTGACATTGTATGGAGTGACCATTTAAAGTTACAGTGGCACTGAAAAGAGTGACTTATGACCATTTTTCACACTTACGAATGTTGCAGCATCCCCACAGTCATGAGAGGCCAGGCGAGGAGATGCGTGCCTCGATGTGAGTAATATTGAGTTGGCCACACCCAGCCAATAACATGACCACCAAGCCATGTCCACCCAGTCACATGACCACCAAGCCACGCCCACCACCTAAGCCACACCCACAGAACCGGTTGTTAAAAATTTTGAATCCCACCCCTGCTTGTGCATTAGTTTCCCCATTTTCCCTGAGAAGTATCAATAGAGTCGCATTCTTTTGTCTGTATGTGTGTGGCTCAATATTAGAGAGCACCTGTTGTGCTTATCAAAGAACAAAACCTGCAGTGAATCTTGATTATTTATTTTGGATCCTGTATTTTGTTTCCACAAGAGAGAAGATGTAAGAGACACAGTATCCATTTGGATATTTCACTCCTGGAAATATTTGGCTTTGGGAATTTGGGAAGCAAATGTCATGGTTATAATCAACTGTTCCATGTACTTATTATCTGAAAGAAAGCTTGAAACATCAAGTAAGGAGTGATTAAAATATTGATTTTGGCATTCTTTGGGTGCCCCTACAAGAATATACACTGACAGTCATACAATTAAATTCAATGTTGTATTGGATTGCTATAGATTGGGAGAGAATCCAAATCCCTTTTCTTAATTTTTTTGGAAATTCCAGATTCTGAGGAAAGAAAAGCTCAAAGCATTTTTGGATGGAAATGTAATGGTGTATGTGACAATACCATCAAGGAATAATTTGTTGTTCAACACTGGGAGTTCAAATGATAAAAGAAGAATGAAGACAATAGATTTCATGAAAAAAATATTATTCATAAAGCAATTTTTCTCAATATATTTCACATTTCTCGGAGAGAATATTGTGATGTTCACCATCTATATGTCACACTTAGCAATCAACACAAAACCTGTAGGAATAGGTATTTCTAAAAAGAGAAAAATCAGAGATAAATCTACATAATTATCGTCTAAGTACTGTGCTCTCTATTCCATAGCCGTAAGAGAAGATGTGTCATACATTTTTCAGTATACAATATAACTACATATACAGTATATTATAAATTAAATATGAATATTTACATAGATCTCCATTTATATATATATACTTCTGAACCAATGACCTATATACATGAATCACTTTTTACCAATATTATTAAGCACTGTGAATTAGTACTACCAATACTGTGAATAACTGTCAAGTATTAATTGCATGTATAGCATTTATTGTACTGTCAAAAATGATGCTGAAAGATATTGACACATCTATTATAGAAATTTTTGTATTTTTTTAATATTCTGGTTTTTTGTAAACTTTTTAATATTTTGAATTTCAATAAAATATTTTTTAAAAATAAAAAAAAAGGAATAGGTATTTTTATTCCATGGGAATACCTGCCATGGTTGGATCTTTTCAACTTCCAGCTTGGCTTTTCTCTTCCTCATTGTTTTTTGGGACTGGGATGAACAAGCCACATTTAAGGCATGTGCCACAATTTGGATGGCATTGGAAGTTAAGGAGCTGTCTAGAGAAAAGATCTTTTCAATCTTCTCTTGAGGTAAAGTCCCCATGTTCTTTTCCTCTATACACCTTGTCCAGCCTTTCACAGACAAGGCAGGCTTCCCATATGAACAGTGAAATATTTTAATAATAAATGCTTTGATTAAAAAATAGAAATCTCTGAAATTTTCAAATTTGGTGCCTTGGCTGGTCTGGATAAGAAAAGAAAAAATACTATGGGTGTATTTTAAAGAGAAAGTGTTATATGATAATTCAACGGAGAGATCCCACAAAGCGGTTGTGATCCAAACTTTTCCTATAACAGGTTTTTTCACAAAGTTCAATATGATTTCCACAAACACTTCTCCTTCTATAAATGTGAACTCTGCATAGTAAACAAAGACGTTGATTTGGTGCCACATTTTGAAAATAGAAATCAGATCATGGAAATTCTCGATATCTAGTAATGTAATTTGTGAAAATGCAGCACAGATGCCATTCTGAGCCAGCACAGGGTTGAAGGTCCTAATGAAACGTTCTCCATTATCAGTATCTGCAGCAAGGAGACCAATGAACGTCCACCGAAAATACAGCAGCAGTTTAACAATTCCCAGGTTCTGGGCACCTTCCTTGGGGACCGTCTGGTAGCAAAAGGGTAACTGAGTTTTATCACTCAGGAATGGTG